CCTGATCCATGGACTCAACTTCACATCCCGGTGCTGCTGTGGAATGGTTGGTTTCTCTACACAGCTTCTAACAACCACCCAAATGGGATGATCAACCGGCACAAACGCAATAGAGCTCGGCCCAGTTAAAACCTTACTGTGGTAATAGGAAACGTCTTTGGGATGACATAGCATGACTTCATTCTCCCAAGTCAACAGTACACTAGGCTTGGGCGATATACCGCTTATACCATATACTGGGGTTTTTAGGTTGGGGGCCTCACGGGGGCTGCGAGGGTGCGTGCTACCCCACTGCTTATAACTAACTATAAGTTAAGTATAACTATCAGAAATCTAAGATGTGTCAAATAAATTATGTCCAGCTCAGAGCTCCAGCTAAGTATTTGGTTTGCTAACTTGCTAGCTAAGTGGCTAGATGTCAAGATCAAGCTTCTTGGTTACAGAAACGGTATGATGATATGAAAATCTGGATACCGCCCAACCCTACAGTCCAAATAGTCCGGGTAGCCATGACTAGCTGTTTAGGAGTCTTATGGCTTGGGGGTAGAAGCTGTTGAGAAGCCTTTTTGACCTAGACTTGGCACTCCGGTACCGCTTGCCGTGTGGTAGCAGAGAGAACAGTCTATGACTAGGGTGGCTTGAGTCTTTGACAATTTTTAGGGCCCTCTGACACCACCTGGTATAGAGGTCCTGGATGGCAGGAAGCTTGGCCCCAGTGATGTACTGGGCCATACGCACTACCCTCTGTAGTGCCTTGCGGTCGGAGGCCGAGCATTTGCCATACCAGGCGGTGATGCAACCAGTCAGGATGCTCTCGATGGTGCAGCTGTAGAACTTTTTGAGGATCTGAGGACCCATGCAAAATCTTTTCAGTCTCCTGAGGGGGAATATGTTTTGTCGTGCCCTCTTCACGACTTCTTTGTGTGTTTGGACCATGATAGTTCGTTGGTGATGTGGACACCAAGGAACTTGAAGCTCTCAACCTGTTCCACTACAGCCCCATCGATGAGAATGGGGGCGTGCTCAGTCCTCTTTTTATTCCTGTAGTCCACAATCATCTCCTTTGTCTTGATCACGTTGAGGGAGAGGTTGTTATCCTGGCACCACAGGTCTCTGACCTCCTCCCTATAGGCTGTCTCATCGTTGTCGGTGATCAGGCCTACCACTGTTGTGTCGTCGGCAAACTTAATGATGGTGTTGGAGTCGTGCCTGGCCATGCAGTCATGGGTGAACAGGGAATACAGGAGGAGACTGAGCACGCACCCCTGAGGGGCCCCCGTGTTGAGGATCAGCGTGGCAGTCGTGTTGTTACTTACCCTTACCACCTGGGGGCGGCCCGTCAGGAAGTCCAGGATCCAGTTGCAGAGGGAGGTGTTTAGTCCCAGGATCCTTAGCTTTGTGATGAGCTTTGAGGGCACTATGGTGTTGAACGCTGAGCTGTAGTCAATGAATAGCATTCTCACGTAAGTGTTCCTCTTGTCCAGATGGGAAAGGGCAGTGTGGAGTGCAATAGAGATTGCATCATCTGTGGATCTGTTGGGGAGGTATGCAAATTGGAGTGGGTCTAGGGTTTCTGGGATAATGGTGTTGATGTGAGCCATGTCCAGCCTTTCAAAGCACCTCATGGCTACAGACGTGAGTGCTATGGTCAGTAGTCATTTAGGCAGGTTATCTTAGTGTCCTTGGGCACAGGGATTATGGTGGTCTGTTTGAAACATGTTGGTATTACAGACTCAGTCAGGGACATGTTTAAAACGTCAGTGAAGACACTTCGTCTGGCCCTGCGGCCTTGTGAATGTTGACCTGCTTAAAAGTCTTACTCACATCGGCTACGGAGAGCGTGATCACATAGTCATCCAGAACAGCTGGTGCTCTCATGCATGCTTCAGTGTTGCTTGCCTCGAAATGAGCATAGAAGTGATGTAGCTCGTCTGGTAGGCTTGTGTCACTGGGCAGTTTGCGGCTGTGCTTCCCTTTGTAGTCTGTAAGAGTTTTCAAGCCCTGCCACATCCGACGAGCGTCAGAGCCGGTGTAGTACGATTCAATCTTAGTCTTGACTCTGCCTGTTTGATGGTTCGTCGGAGGGCATAGCGGGATTTCTTATAAGCATCCTTGAAAGCGGCAGCTCTACCCTTTAGCTCAGTGCGGATGTTGCCTGTAAGCCATGGCTTCTGGTTGGGTTGCGTCCGACTCGTTGAAGAAAAAATCTTCGTTCAAAACGAGGTGAGTAATCGCTGTCCTGATATCCAGAAGCTCTATTTGGTCATAAGAGACGGTGGCAGAAACATTATGTACAGAATAAATTACAAATAACGCGAAAAAACACACATAATAGTACAATTGTTTAGAGGGCTGTAAAACAGCAGCCATCTTCTCTGGCGCCACTCCTATTGAAAACAAATTGGATGACCTAAGACTAAGGTTGTCCTACCAACGGGACATTCATAGTGATTGCTTCTGTTTCCTTTGATGCTGAATGAAGATAACAGTCTGTGGTTGGGGGGGAATGTGGGCTTTGTCCTGACCACAGTGGCCTCCTATTTTGTGGCTTTGCTTTAATCCTTCTCTTACTCCAGTTTGCATGTTCCCTGGAGCCTCAATAGAGACTACACTCTTAGAAAAAAGGGTTCCAAAAGGGTTCTTCGGCTGTCCCTTTTTGGTTCCAGGTAGAACTCTTTTGGGTTCCATGTAGAACCCTCTGGGCTCTACCTGGGTTCTCCTATGGGGACAGCCAAATAATCCTTTTAGGTTCTAGATAGCACTTTTTTCACGTCTGGGACTACAGTATAGGTCTTTGTCAGAATGTCTCTCAATATCGACAGTGACAGAACTAAACACAAGACACTTCTTAGGTATGTTTTTCATTCAAAGTTTGTTTTAGATGTTTGTATAATGACTTGGCAGTGCTGAATGTGACCTCAGTCTGATGTCTGTTAACATAATGGAGGTCACCTCCCACTGGGCACACCACGTCATTTCAACGTGGAGAATTGGGTAATATTTGGTAGATACGCTGATCAATGAGATTCCAACATATTTTCACCCACTCAAAAAGACAGCCATAAGTTTGTTGAATTCCCAATGTGTTATCACTATGCTTTCAACCATCTAAAAGCACAACCAAATTCCAATGGAAAATCTATGTCCGATTTTTTGTTTGGTTGTCACCTAAATGTGTTATCATCACTGAGCTTTCAACCATTTAAAAGCACACCAAAGTTCAAATGGGAATACAATGTCATATATTTTGTTTATTTATAAAACAACTTAATGTGTTATCACTGTGTTTCATCTAATAGCAGGACCAAATGACCTGGATTCCAGTTGAGATTACATTAAAAGTACATGGTACAAGTGATCAATGCCGTTTGAGATTCTGTACAGATTATTACAGCAATTGTGAAGATCTCCACAGACCTGCGACAACCTTGAACATGCACGCTTTATATGATTACATAATGACCCTGAACATCGTCATGTCTTTTGTTTTATTATGTGTTATACACTACCGGTCAAAGGTTTTAGAACACCTACTCATTCAATGATTTTTCTTTACCCTAGACCAGGCCTCTCCAACCCTGTTCCTGGAGAGCTACCGTCCTGTAGGTTTTCACTCCAACCCTATACTAGAGCACCTGATTCTAATTAGCTGGTCGAATTGCTTCAAAGAAACCACTACTAAAGGACACCAATAAGAAGAAGAGACTTGCTTGGGCCAAGAAACATGAGCAATGGACATTAGACTGGTGGAAATTTGTCCTTTGGTCTGGAGTCCAAATTGGAGATTCATGGTTCCAACCGCCGTGTCTTTGTGAGACGCGGTGTGGGTGAACGGATGATCTCCGCATGTGTATTTCCCACCGTAAAGCATGGAGGAGGAGGTGTGATGGTGTGGGGGTGCTGTGCTGGTGACACTGTCTGTGATTTATTTAGAATTCAAGGCACACTTAACCAGCTCCATCTGTGCCACTGAGTCTGGCTTTAACTCCAGTTGGTCTACAAATTAATAATTGTTGGATTCACGTCTCCATTTCAACCAAAAATCTAAGTTGAAGAACTAACCAAATCAAATGCACTTTAAATACAGTTTGATTTGATTTAATCCTATTCTTTAACTTGTATTTTTGGTTGAAATGGAGACGTGAATCCAACATATTTATTATTAACTTGTAGATTCCATTTGAAATCAACCAAAGCTTGAAACCCTCCAACCCTGTTCCTGGAGAGCAACCGTCCTGTAGGTTTTCACTCCAAGCCTATACTAGAGCACCTGATTCTAATTAGCTGGTTGATATGCTGAATAAGGTTAGTTAAACAGTGGTTGGATTGAAAACCTACAGGACGGTAGCTCTCCAGGAACAGGGTTGAATTGAAACAATAGCTGTTGATAACTTCCCAAATGCTATATAGGCCTAAACAGCATAATTGATGATATATGATTGATAAAGTATGGTTACATTTCATTTGCTCTGTTGAACCTGCCCTTTGGAATGACTTTGATAGCATCAGTGAATCTATTAAGTGGACATTTCTCAACAATCATTCTCACAATAGCACATTGGTAATAGTCAGTGACAAATATCAACACTAAGCAGGGTTGGGCTTGGTTAAAACCCTGGATGGGAAACCGAAGGGATAGCTGTAGATGGATCAACTCTCCAGTAGGAGTTGCTGCTCAGCCTATAGTTTTTTTCTTATAGTGGATATTACGTTGACTATCTGATATTGATTCAAAGGTACAAATTCAAAATATTTTATACAAGGTTTGTCTATGTTGAAAATTGGTTACCATGATGACATCATTCTGTGGTTGAAATTTTATCCTGAAAACAACAGTTGACTTTTTTCAAATCCAATGTATTTTCCACTTAGATTCCACATCACAATACGTTGAAACAACGTTGATATAACCAGTTTGTGCCCAGTGGGCTGGGTGATGAGGTGAGGTGTGTAAGGGTGTGACCTACCTGCTTTCCGTCCAGTGTGTAGATCCTCTTCACCACGCCGCTCTCCAGCTTGATGGCCTCTGTGATGTCGGTGAGCACCTGTTCAAAGGAGTGCGCTGTCTTCTTGTTGAGCAGCACGCGGACGGCCTTCCTCGGCTTCACGCCGCTCCGCATCACCGTCACCAGCTTGGGCCGAACAAACTCCTTACCCTCCCGGGCTTCGCTGGCCTGCTTACTGGCTAGGCTCTGCAGGTTCTTCTGGCTGGCAGAGGCCTTCACGTTCACAGACCAGTTGGGGTTGACGTTCTTTGTGTAGTCAACCTTCTTGTACAAGTTCTCGGACGCACAGACGTAGCTCTCTCCTGAGGGTGTAGGAGAGGACAGAGAGAAAGAGAAACGCTGTGAGGAATATGAAGTATTCACCTTGTTTGACATCTCAAAAACTCAGTAGGTCCCCATTGGTTTCCAACTCCCTGAGGAAAGATTGGCTTCAATGTGAGACATCAATACTATTGGGAAAAGGTGGGTTATTATGACCTGTCATTTTAGTCATTTAGCAGACGCTCTTATCCAGAGCGACTTACAGTTAGTGAGTGCATAAATGTTTCATACTAGCCCCCCGTGGGAAACGAACCCACAACCCTGGCGTTGCAAGCACCATGCTCTACCAACTGAGCTACAGGGGACATCCATATGTAAACTAAGCATTCTATGCTACTATAGATGATACTAAATGCATGGATACAACATAAACTTGTGAAGAGGATGGAAAAACAGCCTCATACTCAAACAGTGCAATCTAGCTCTACTGAATCTGATAGTGTCGACAAACTAGCAGTTATTTTCCCATAAGTTTATAAATGGGCCAGTGACCTGTGCTTCCTGTAATTGCTATAGCATCTCCATTAACCTAATCCAAAGCGTGGTGACCCATGCACTGAACTCTCCCCCAATCATCAAACAGCAGGAGGAGACTGCTCCGTCAGAGATATGCCAGCCAGTGATGGAATATAGCAATCGAGAAAACGATATACACATACATACTTACACACATATATATATAAATATACATACATATACACATACATATACATACATATAAATACACACACATATATTTATATAGCTATTGTAAAATAGATTGTATCCGTAATATGTATATAGTGTGTATAAGCTGGAAGTAGAAGCCTAAGTGTTGTTGTTCAGTAGTTTACTCCAATTAGGGGAGGGGTGGTAGGGTTAGGGGAAAATAATAAAGGAAAATATATTTTTAAAAGATGTGTAGGCACATTCGCTATTTAACGCAACAGTTTTAGTGACAAAACTATCGGTACAGTTGAAAATGCGATGGAAACACATTGAACATTCAATTTTTATTTGGTACATGAAAACTTAAGTGAAAAAGTACATTTGCGTGCACTATGTCATCACGCACTGATTTTTATCTGCAACACGTACGTTTGGTGGAAACACACCAATCGTGGGACAATGCGCATATTTTCTTTATGCCGATTTTTGAATATTCGCATTGGAAATATGTGATTGTTTTTAGTGAAAATTGTCAAAAAGGGGGAAAAAATTGCTTCGCTTTCTCAAGCAAGAATTGTGCTAGGACTGTCTGGAAGTGGTCTGAGTGGGAAGGGCAAACTGAAAACTAGCTGTTATTGGCAGAGGTTTGGAACTCTCTTTCTGTCTATTAACTAATTTACCGCCTGGTGATGTCATAAGGCAGGCCAAAACTCCATCCCACCAAACAGGCTGAAGTTTCAGGCAGCCGTTTCAAACAGCTCTTACACTAAAAGGGCATTATCGTAATTTTCACAATTTCACAGTATTACTCCAACCTCATAGTGTGGAAATATATATAAAACAAAGGGAAATCAAGTTTTTGACTGCACTGGGCCTTTTAACATCAGATGATGGAATTATCATAGATCCTAGAAGTAGTAATGATCTCCCATTTGTCCTAGTTTTAAAAACAGTGATCATGTAGGTAGTATGCTGTAGGAGGAGAGTGTAATGGGACCTGTCACTGTGGATCAGCGGTTTCGTGATTCCAGGCCAGCTATAGTCTTCTCTATAGACCAGTGGTTCACAACCAGGGATACTAGGACCCGTGGGGGCACTTGGCCTATCCACAGGGGGTACTTGAGAAGACTCATGAGACCATAGGCCTACTGGTAAAATGCACATGAGGGGGTAAATCAGGGGTACTCCGGGCAGAGCAAAATTCAGTTGGTGGTACAGTGACAGAAAAAGGTTAGGAACCACTGCTATAGACCACTGACAGGATATCGCCTATACTGCCCTCCAGTTAAGAGACTCAGGGATAAACATTTGATATACAGAGACACTAGGTAAATAAAAAGGGGCTGGAAATGAAGTATTACTATTCACACCACATGACCCTGAGGTGGAGAGGAGAGCGGAATGTTTATAGGAGAGGACAGGCAGGACAGTCAGTGGATAGACTGATGATCCCTGTCTGAGAGAGGAAGTGAAGCAGAGAAAAGATAGATGGAACCTGCAAACAGGAGCGACAGCTGGGAGACAAATCTCATCAGTAATGTGAGGCTGGTGATGAGAGCTAGCTAGGGGACAGGGCAGCAATGATACAACAGAAGACAGGGCAAACAGCAGAGCAGTGCTACCAGGGGATCCCATGACAAGTACAAACGATTAACAATTTATATACACATGTAGAATCTTAATTTGAGCCAGTTTTCTCCTGCAGCAACAGGAAATGTGAATTATTATGTGTATTCTAATTAATGGAATTTTTTTGTAGGGGTTGATACATTTTTCGTTAAGGCACTCAAGTCTGACATTTTAAAGTGGAAATGACAAACTTTAAAAGCCTTTTTAAACCTTGAATACACTACAAGTTTGCATTTCCTGTAGTGCAGGAAAATTATCAGCAACAAAAGAGTGATCAAATTAACATCCTACATCTGTAAGGACATTTGAAATAGTGTCACATCACAGTGTACTGTCTGCAACCACTCAAACAAAGTAACGCTGTGGACTTTTTCCTCTCTCCTGGGGGCACATGCATACAACATGGTCTGCATCCTCTGACTTCTCACATAAATGCACACCTTAAATCAGGTTACAGACCATTTAGGCCTAGGACCCCTAGACTTAGCGAGCGTAGCAATATCAGTAGGTTAGCTAGGTGGTTTTGTAACACAGATAATGTAACATAATGCTAACCAAATACTGAAATATTACAAACCAATGCTTTTATTCACTTAGAAAATCAGTGGGCTTCATAGTCAGCCCACAACTCTCCCAGATCTGCCTGCCTGTGTAGGTGGGTGTGGGTGGGTGGGTGTATGTGCACAGGCATCTCCATTCTCCATGGTTGACAGGGATACTCATTATATTCACTGCATTTCTTCCAGACAGCACACGGTGAAGGCAAAGCCAGTGCTGTCATTGAGACATGATCATATATAACCTACTGTAGCATGCACATCCCTGGAGAACTCATAAAGGAATTTAGATGTACCCTCAGAAAAGAGGGGACTTTGGCTAAGCACATGAATGAGTTAAGTCTAAAATTTGCACTTTGAGCATCAAAACGCTGTTATAATATAATATTCCATGTCTAGCCGGAATACTAATCAGAATTTCTGCTGGATGTCTGTCTTCCTACATGTGCTGCTAAAAATTATGATATGTGTCATGAGATCCAACGTATTATAAATATATTTCTGCAGATGTTTTTCCAATGGAAAGTGAATAAATTACGCTAGCACATGTGAGAGAGAACCTTGCGTCTGTAACTGTGGCTGTCCTGTGTAACAGTGCATCGAGACAGCAGAGACAGCTTTTCAAAGAGTGTTATGACAGCATCTACCTAGAGGGCACTGCTTACTCTCAACGCTCTTTCATCAGATCTTACAGATTCAGTAGAAGGATGGAGGAAAACAACCTCCTACATTACATTGACATTTTAGTTACTATTATAGCTGAGCAAATCTATACTGTAGGACATACTGCCTAGCAACAGTGTAAATGGCAGTGCTCGACTCTTCCATTCAGGTAAGCAGGTCCTGATTTCACCTAAGGACAGGCAGTAAGAGTCAGCCAGTCCCACTAAGCCTAAGCCTTCTGCCTGGGTGGACTGGCAGCTTGGGCTGAGCTCTTTATGACTCTTTATGGTACAGGACAGTAAGAACTAGAGGCCTGTAAGGTGGTGCGGCAGCTGGCTCAGGCTAATACTGTATCATGTAAGCCTTCCTCAGCAGTCTGGGCTGCTTTCCCTACATGCACTGCACTGTGTAAGTGACCTAAATGAGAAAGAGGAGCAGCCAGCCACACCTCCTCCATCCTCTCCCCATCCTCTATCTGTTTTTCATCATACCCTCCATCTTTCTTCCTAATAAATATTCAAAATGTAAATTCTCTACCAATCGTTCCTTCATTTCCATGTCTCCCTGGTCTCTCCTCCATCATGTCCCCAGACAGTCAGACACCGCAGTGTAGAGGCTCTCTCAGGGAGATCCAGAGAGAGGGCTCCCACCCTGTGCCACAGCAGCACCAGACAAAGGACAGTGGGGATAATACAGTGCAGAGGAGTTCATTATCTCCTGAAAGAGGAAGAGCAGCAGGATGAACCCCTCTTCTCGCCACCCCAAATACATACAACTCTCTCTCTTCCACAAACACACAAACAAGCAAACAATCTCACTCACTCTCCCTGCTGTGCCATACCTTGTCTCCTCTGGCCTCAGCCTCAGACGCCCCACACATACAGTATATAAACACCCCCCGGCCCCACCCGGACGCCCCCCTCTCATTCCTAAGCAGCTCAAATGGAAGAGATGATCACCTCATTTTGATCAAATTAAGCCAGGGTTTATCTCTTTGTTTAATTTGTATAATCCCCCCACCCACCCCCTTCCCTAGAAAAAAAAAACCTGAGGGCTTCCAAGCTTTTTGGAAAATAATTCTGCCAATTCTGTTCCTATTCATGCCAATCATAAAAAAGATGAGCAGAAAGATTAGAAGACAGAAGGGTTGATGTGTCAGAGAGGGAGGAAGGAGGAAGTGAGGGCATCCAGGGGAGGGGAAGTGAACAGCACAATTAGCCAGGGGTGTTGAGTGTAATTGAAAAACTCTGCCTCCGGGGCAGATGGCGTTGAGGGAGAGACTTAAACAACACTGGCAGAGGACACTGAATTCCCAGGTTAAATGAGTCAAGAGGAAGAGTAATTGCATCAGTGAAGTGTATAAGATTACAGGGTTCTCCTACTCTGAGGGGTGTGGTCTCAAGGTAATGAACCCAAAGGTCAAATCTACTGACAAGGTCCACATAGAACAGCATAGTATAGCAAACTAACTGCTGTATAACTAGAATAATTCACTCCTCATTTATTTTTCTCCTTCACCACATGGTCCTACCCTCATAGTTTTTTCACTTGTCCTTGCTTCTACTGTATCTTTCCAAACATGCTCTCTTTCTTTTCCTCAAATCATCCCGTTTAACGACCGTAGAGCCTTTCCCAGCTGGCAAATGCACAATCTGGCAGCATAATATCAGCTGAAACGTTTCATAACACTAAGCAGCAGTAAGATCTATTTATATTCTATTCATAGGCCACAATATGATCAATTTCCCCTGGAAGGCAGCAACATTACATGGAGCTGGGGAGGGACGCCTCCTGTTTCCCTCTCCCTGTATGGGGAACCAGCTGGGGGGGCTCTGCTCCACCTACCTGTCAGTCTTCCCAGACTGTGTATCACTTCATTCCCAGGAGAGCCTGTTTCATATACAGTTACAGAACCACTTTCAAACAAGGAATAACAGATACTCCTGCTGTTGAGGGGGTATTAATATGACACAGTAAGAGATCCAGCAGCCTTCATGATATTCTGCTTCAGCCACAGGGAGATTGCTGAGCTGGTTGGAAGACTCCCGTGTGGATAAGTATGCAGAGTCTGAGACTCAGTGCTCACATCAAAGGTGGAGGAGTCCCCCTAATGAGGGGAGGAGACGTTACATTACATCACACCAAGGAAACGGGCAGAGACCACGTCTGTCTGCTCATCAAACAGAATGCTGCCTGAGCTCCACCCTCCAGGGGGATGGATGGTTCCAACAGGCTCCGTTTAGGAACCATTTTATAATTCCTGGCTGCCAGGCACTCTCACTGCTGTAAGGCTCTAGTCTCCACTTCTGTGGGGAGAATTCCACATGTGTACATGCCAATGAGAGTCAGTGACCGGATAAAAACCTCAGTGAGAATCTCTAATAACAGTGTAGGGTTTCACACAATGAGAGCAGCAGACTACTACTACACCATGCATATCAATGACAATTGTGTCCACCCTACTGACAATTGTGTCCACCCTCTGATGATGATGATGATGATGATGATAAAATCCATCAGCCTTCAAAAAGACCCAGGGAACAGTAAAGCAGTCATAGTAGTGGTATACTCTTAAAAATAAAGGCGCTATCTAGAACCTAAAATGGTTATTCGGCTCTCCCCATAAGAGAACCCTTTGAAGAACCCTTTTTGGTTCCAGGTAGAACCATTTTGGTTCCAGGTAGAACCCTTTTGGGTTAAATGCAGGATCCTTTTCACAGAGGGCTCTACATAGGACAACCGAAGAACCCTTTTGGAACCCTTTTTTCTAAGAGTGTAGTAAAGTGTTAAGCCAACATAGAAGTATTCTACCACAACCTCAGCTCCACATGTTAGGAGATTTAACCTAGCTGATGTTCTGATGCTATGATAGGTCTGCTCCAGACATACTGAACCCACTGCTCTGTGGCTCCTGGGGCGCTGAGTGAATCACTTGTATGAATTATTGAGACTAAACAGTATTACTGTAGTGAGTGCTCTGCTGCTCGCTAACTACCAGCATTTAGCAGAGTGGCAGAGCCTCTGGAGGACACTGTGTAAACTAACATAGCATACCTTCCCACTGCTCCATCCCCCTGCAAACCATCAGATTATCATATCTAATATGTAGAGATTACAGCCGGCTAGACCGGCCAGACAGACTCTTAATCTCATAGCAGAAGACGCTTATGCATCCCAATCTTCCCAGCGTTACAGGTGATGACACACACAGTTGGTGATCTCCATCAGACTACTGCTGTGTACCTTTCATAATCACATGAACATACCTTAGAATGATAAGGTTCACTTACTGAGGAAACTAATCACAAAAACATCCTCCAATGAGTATAAACATGTAATAACACTAAAGTATAATAACCCCCACTCCCTACCTACCACCCAGCCCCCATGTGAGCTCACCTTCCTCCAGCTCGTCCATGGTGGTTATCTTGCGTGTTCCGTCGATGGAGAAGATGAAGCGGACCCCCTGGGGCAGGTTGATGTGGTCGGAGAGGGAGCGCGTCAGGTCGGCCAGGAGGGCGTCGAAGGTGCGGAAGCGTTCGACGGCCACAGCGTACACGATGCCCTTGAAGTAGCGGTCTCCGTTGCGGTAGAAGCGCACCTTCTTGGCCTTCTTCTCGTTGGTGAGGGCCTGCAGGGTGCGCGTGCGGTAGAAGCTGCAATGGGCGCTGTGGGTGGGGCTGGGCAGCCCGTTCATGCGCCCGCCCCGTGGGGTACGGGGCTTGTCTCGCTCGTCAAAATGGCCGAAGTCCAGCTCCATGGCAACAGAGGTCCGGGAGGGTCCGTGGTAGATGGGTGCTGGATGTGGAGAGCTCTGGGGAGTCTAGCATTGAGATAAATAAAACAACAGAGTTATAATTATGTTATATACAGTATAGAAAAGGTGAATTGGTAAATATATTTTCATGGATTAATTCATAGACTCTCAATGACAGAATACCAAAGTGGTAAATAAATCCCTCAACATTCCACCATCTAGCTACTGTGAAATTCCCTTGCAGTGGGTATCACTTTCCATCTCTATCCCTCTCATACAATAGTGCACCATGCACCACGGGTGTGCTGGGGTTCACATGCAGTAAACCGAGCCAGCCCTCCCCCGTCTCTCCAGAGGGTGTTTGGTTTCTGCAGGATGAAGAGATTCCGGGCCAGCCCAATCAATTACAGCCCTCACTATCGATTAGCCCACCCCCTTACAGACACACACAGAGGTGTGTTAACCTCCCGCCCCTATGTGCATGTGCGTGTGTGTGTGTGTGTGTGTGTGTGTGTGTGTGTGTGTGTGTGTGTGTGTGTGTGTGTGTGTGTGTGTGTGTGTGTGTGTGTGTGTGTGTGTGTGTGTGTGTGTGTGTGTGTGTGTGCGCGTGCGTTAAGTGTGTGAAGCAACTGGAGAACACTCTGCCATGACGGAGCTGCAACAGAAACACAAGCCTCATTTGGGAAGTTTCCTAGTTGAACAGGGGATCAATATTTTATGTCTAGTGAACAGAATCACTCTGCTGTATACTCAGTAGTACATGTCCTATGTAGGCCCTACAACCCTTTAGTGATCCTAAAACTAAGGCCATTAGCTCTGAACATACATACAATTATGGACCAAATGGACTAAACATTTACATCAGTTGTACACATGTCTTATGTAGAGCTGGGGCTGCTCCGCCTGTAAGTCTGCTTGTGTCCTGACCTACATTGAATGGAAGCGTGGCCAGTTAGGGGCTATTATTAAGAAGCCCCGGTGGATGTGTGATATTTTGGAGAAAAGGTCTCTCATCAGAGTGAGCTGCTGTCTGTGGTCTGACCAGGATGTTTCACAGGCTGGGAAACAAGACACTTTTCCTCAGGCTCCAGGATGCGTGAAAAAGTGTCATTCTGGTTTCTGTTTGTGATGTGTCGTATATCTTACATGAAAAGTCTTTCACCTCATCGGTCTTTTTAAAGACAGATATGGCAGAAATAAGCCTAGGAGCATCCGAATCAGAGGATCCTCCCACACACCAGAGTCTGAGCTATGAGCAGGCAGACTGGGACGGATATGTAGCTCCTGTAGCATCATCATCCACCTCCGCACCGTCAGCTAAGGGCTCTTGGACAAGACAGACTAGAACTGAGCTGAACATTTGGAGCGTTATTCACTGATGTAAAGTAGATGGTATCACAGTCTTCTCTGTGGTGCTGAGCACCATGTGCGAGGGTGTATTCACACTTTTCAATGGTTACTCATCCTCTACACTACAGGGTAAAGGTACAGGCGTGACTCACCCACAAGTTTGCATTATCCAATGTGCAACTGAACCCTGTCTAAAAATAACAGCAAGTCACTGAAAGAGAGAACAGTACTAAGGTTGAGGGTAAAAAACGATTCAATTTCTTTTTTTTAAGGTTTTTATTTGGTTATTGATAGATAGGATAACTAGTGTAAAGACATGAGCAGGTCTCTTTCAGGGTCTCACCTCTCTGTACAATCTGTAGTGAATATACAGCATTCAGCTAGATGCTGCGAGGGGTAGCAAGCACAGCACGCTGTGCCAAAACTCTCCACTAACATCTGCTCTTTTTAAACGCAAACAGACCTTTTTATCCCCTCCGCAAAAAGACAGAAGAAAAGAAAGCATGGTGGGAGGAGCTGGCTGGCTGGCTGGCTGGCTGGCTGACCGGCTGGCTGGCTGGCTGACCGGCTGGCTGGCTGACCAGAGAAGTGTCTGCTGCTACCCAGTTTGTACTGGAACTTTGCAATAGGCAGTTTGAATAATGAGGAGATCAGCCACTGAATGGGCAGAGAGCACCCATTACTGTGCCACTCTGAATGGGCACTCAGCAGCCACCCTCTCTGCTATGTCTCACATCTTATCCCAGTCATGAGTCTCTCCGCCGTAGGAGGAAAGAGTACACCGGGAAGGTCATTGGTGCCACGCCCTACCCTGGTGCATGCTGGGAGACCTGCCCTGCCCTGGTCAGACTGATAGTCTGTCTGTTTGCTCCGACAAACCTTTCGATGGCGGGCATTCCGGAGTGGAACGAGCGTTTCAGTGAAACTAGCCGACTGCAGAGCAGACAAAGAAACACGTCAGAGTCGTTCTACTCCAGTGGGGCAGGTTGCGTCGAAACAGCGACACACAAAACCCCCTTTCTAATGAATCTCATTAGCCATCTCTGTGTGATCTAATCAAAATGAATAGAATTCCTCTGTATGAGATGGAAAATGTGCAGTTATGATGACCGCACAGTAGAGCTTTCTGCTAGCTGCTCTATGACAGAACAAAGACTCACTGCAATACTATAGCGGTATCCACATGGTCCAGCACAGACACAAATACAAATACAGACACAGACACAGACACAGACATAAACACAGACATAAACACAGACATAAACACAGACATAAACACAGACACAGACACAGCAGCCATACTGTACTGTACATGACCTGTGAATGAGGTTAGCTGCAGCGGGACGAACCTCATCCACACCTGCCTAGAATGTGCTGACACCCATGTCTGGGCTGTCTGGCTGTATTTGTATCAGGCTTCTCTGTAAAGACACACAGCAGACAACAGGAACTAGTGGCTTTGTTTTTAACAATGCAAGTTACCAGGTCTGTCATCTTTTTCTCCTTCAACGTCTTCTATCGAAGTCCAGTAACTATCACGTAAAACAGCCTCACCACTCTAGGGACAATATGGGATACACTGTGTCACCCAATAGGCTAGTGTGCTCTGTCTAGCTCCAGGCCTAGTCCTACTCAACGCCATGATGCATTTTCCTACATCTTTCAACCATCATCAATAGCCCCTCACACTCAGTTGCCCAAAATGGCCTCTTCTAAACAATGCTGATCAATAACTACTCGTCAATAATCCTATAGGCTTTCAGGCCCATTGTTCACAAACAAAGCATTTGTCAATATCGCCCCACAGTCTAAGTCCCAAGATACGAGCCAGTAGTGTGTTAAAGTGGGCAGGAGGTGTGGCGGCTACAGGAGGCAGGAGCTGGTGATGTGTGATAAATGACAGTCATCTTTGACAGCCTGACCTCCTCCCCACAGCCCACTGAGCCCCGTCCTCTGGAGCCCCACAGAGACCACATCCCCTTCCTGGAGTGGACACAACAGAACAGATGCCAGAGGGAACAAGAAACATAACAGCACCCCCTATACCCCCCCCCCCCTCCCCCCTCCCTACTAACACCACATCCCCCTGCCTGGTGACATCCCAGGACAAGCCCTTTTCATGTGACCTTAACTCATCCCACCTAAAAAAAAATCCCCCCTTAAAAATATATTGTTCCTGTTGTGAGCCCCCTGGGGCACTTCGATATCCTGTCGAGAATTTGATTTGTCTGCTAAATTCTTAATGCAGTATTACTATTAGAGCGAGGCTGGAGGTGCTGCTCTCTGGGGAAATGTAGCAGAACCAGGCCTGTGTTTAAGAATAGGATTAGAGGAGGAGAATCACAACTGATTCACTGGTGACTAACTGACACCCTCACAGAGCTGCTGCTGCGGCCTGCTTCACTCTGATACACAAGATTATCAGGTACAATGAACTGCACAAATAGATTTTTAAGACTATCATTTGTGAACACTGATTGATATGTAGATGATCAACGATTCAGTAGTTCATTGATACAGAGTGAGTCTTGGATGAAATGTGTAACAATGTCACATTCTAAGGTAGCACCTTATAGTACACCTCAATGCACCATGTGGTTGAATCAACTTTTAAATAGCACATAAACCCTGTGTTCTAGCTATATTTAGCTGGACAATTATTGGATTTCTAGGGGTTAGATCTGGGGTTGTCAGTTTGATTATCGGTAGGACTGAAATCCCCTATCTAAAAAAAACAGCCACCTCCTGAGAGTAGCACTGCAGCAGCCCTATTCACCATGCCCCTACCCAACACAGTTTCCACTTTGTACAAAAACACAGACCCACATGTGGGGAGGGAGATGAGGTTAGTTTATATCTGACCACTGACCAACACAGGAGTTGGCACACATTGTTATGTCAACACATTCAGTCCATCTAGGCCATTAGTGTATAGACTGGAGGCTGCTCCCTGTGACATTTAAAGCTCTGATCTGTGCCAGGGGGATGGACGGACAGACAGACAGACAGACAGAGTCCAGGGCTGGGCCAAGAATTGAAACAGCTTTACCAATTAAAGCCTGTCCACTTCCTGCCAAATCCTCACCTAGTGGCTGTGAACAGTGACCACACCTCGATGGGCTCAGACAAAGACATGCAGGCAGTCTAACCCCTCAACATCTCCACACTTCTATCCCCCAACTCTCTCCACATACAATGCCCACACATGGCTCAGCTGCTGGGTGATGGTAACCACATTTAGACTCCATGATTTAACAGGGATGTGTTAACTCATTTCTGCTTAAACAGTGATTGTGTGGAACTGGCAACGCCCCAATGGCAAAGGCCATGAAACTCACTGCTTTTAATGGTGAAATACTGATTGTGATTTATATGTCCTCCTCCCCTAATCTCTCCATAGCCCGATCACATATGTGCCCTTCATGGAGACAAACAGAGAGGACCACATTGTCCCCACCCAGGGATGTGGCTGGGACCACCCATCCCCCGCCAACCCTCGACCTGCAGAGCCCGGAGTCTGACTGGGGTTTTATGACAGCCAGGCCCTGGGATGCATGGGACGGGATGGGGGTGGGACCGAGGGAGGGACCAGAGTGGGATGGGTTATGGGTAGTGGTACTCCTCCTGACAGACAAGGGCCTGGCTCCCAATCCATCTGCTCCCATAATGGACAGAGAGGTAAATCACTGACCCTCTCCTCATCACTTCCACTACTACTACTACTGTAGTACTACTCTATCACTACTACTACTACTACTACTACTGTAGTACTACTCTATCACTACTACTACTACTACTACTACTACTACTGTAGTACTACACTACACCACACACAGATACAACTACAACTGCACATAGAGCTGCACTATTAGTAAAACTGCATTCAAACATGAGCACACTAATATAATGTATCAATACTAGTGTTATTACTAGACTAATGACTCACCCCAGTGCATTCCCATCACCAGGGCTTAAATTACAGGAGTGGCCCCTAGCTATTGAAATATTTATATTGCCATCCCCATAAGGTCCAGACCCTTACTCATAGGACAGTTAATGTCATTCAAACCCTGAATATAAAAAAAACAATGAATGTGTATAATAATGCATGCTCTCACCAGGCTTCCCTAACATTGCAGCAGATAGACAGTTATATTGTGTGAAGGTGACATGTCTAACTGCACTACAGAGATGTGAGCCTAGGTCTGTGCCACCACCATTCCCACCACCACCAGCGTCCTGTATCCTCACCACAGCTGATCTGTGTAACACTAAGCCTGTCTTCGCTGGTTTTAATCAAGTCATTTTCAAAAAAAGAACAAAGTTGATCTGTACTCCCTCTCTCATTACAATAACAAGAGAACGCTTTAGTTGTCCACATTATCTTAGAAAAGTGCGGTGGGCGTAGTACCCTGCATACAGATGAGCTGTGTTAGTAGTGTACTAACGGGTACGCGCACACCTACAACCACCTGCTCAGCTAACTGCCTAAATAGCTTACAATTAGAGCAATCCTCAAAAATGTTAAATACTAAAATCAACAAATCAACACATCGTCAGAAACAGAAGTAAAATACTGACATCATATTTTTTGCCATTTAATTATGTTTAACCCAGATATAAAGTCTCCCACTAACGGTACTCACCCGCGCTGGAGTGTATGGAGTGAAGTGGGTGGGTGTGGATGCTGCAGGAAAGCTGCACGAGCTCTTTTTGCCTTTGTCTGCCTCTCTCAAGTCCATGAGCTGCGCCTACCTGACCGGCTGCACTGCTGGGTCCTAAAGCCGACCGCGCTGAAACCGCCCTAGTATGGCAATGGCACAGACCGGTATTTTGGGGTATTTCTCTCAAAAGGATGACGTAAACCTTTTCAACGCTGTAAAAGGTTTACTTTCGCAATCTTACTGTGTCATGATTAATAATTTTTCATTAATTGAAATATCCATGGGCTATAATGCTGCCTATTGAATTATAAATACTAATTTGAAGAAAGAAATCTGCTGAGTTTATTTGATCCCTGTGTTTTGAGAAAATCATGCCTCAGTTTCTTTCCACTCTTTTACCACTTCTATTGTAAAGTAATGTTGTGTTGATAATCCCTTCCAACAGATTGGATGTTGCGCCTCTATTCACACCATACATGTTACTGTATATTTCCAGAGGCAGAAACAGCAGGATTATAAATTGATACATTTGCACTTGAGTGTGTGTGTGTGTGTGTTTGCGTGTGCATGCATGTGTGCGTGTGTGTGTGTGTATTTGTGTGTTTGCGTGAGCTTGCTTCAGAAGGTTAAGCCCATTATGTACACCACTGCCAGAGATAGAGGAGAGAGGATAGCTCTAAGAGCTGATGTCCTTCCAGATAAGAGACTATGACATGACAAATCAGGACTGCAGACCCCCACCCTCTGTATATGGGTTGCATCTGGCATGTGTATCAGGTGCAAGTGGAGGCGTTTATGAGAATCTGTGTTTAGATGTGTCTGCGAGTGTGTGTTTTTATTAACTTATCATACAATCCTGTCTTGTGTGTAGTGAACTGAGACAAAGTCATCAGAGTGCATCTCTTTGAGACTAATCAGTAATGACGTTGTGATGCTGGGCCTCTATGGGGAGTATGAATAAAAGCCTAAACACCTTAATACATCTGTCCAATCTGCTTTCCTTCTGTGGAGTTCAGGTTTGAAGAAAAACAGGCCCTTTAAATAAAATCTGTGTCTTGGCCCAGTCAACAACACACACTACATCACCCTGTGCTGACATGGTATCAAATAAACACCAACACCTCTTTATAAGGCTCCTGTCACCATCAATAACAATACAGCTCTCCATTAGATAAAGGATCCATTGGACTCTGTCCAATAGAGTCCCTATATAATTTGATCTAGCTGATGTCATACTGAGTTAACAGGCTGTACTGTCAACGTATTTCTCACCTATTGGCTATGTACGATGTATCATAAAATAAGAGTATGGTGTAATGTAGTATTGATGTTAGTGGCATCATCTGACATGGCAGTGCAGGCATAAAGTGTAGACAAGGTCCAACCCAGTCTCAGAGCGTTTCGTATTATTCTGTACGTAAATCTGAGACAAGCCATTTAGTTTGATATGTTCCGTTTTGTATGGTATGTATTCATTTGTGGATGTCCATTTCCCATTTTGTATGATATGTTACGAATTATAATTAGTATTATATATTACAATATGTTACGAATTTGCAAAGCGTATGATATGTTAAGAATTCTAGCTAGGTGGCTAGGGGTTAGGGGTTAGGGTTAAGGTTAGGGTTAAGTTTAGGAGTTAGGTTAAAATGTTAGGGTTTGGGCTAGGGGAAGGGTTAGCTTAAATGGGTTAAGGTTAGGGTTAGGTGAAGGGTTAGCTAACATGCTAAGTAGTTGCAAAGTAGCAAGTAGTTGAACATTTGCTAAAATAGTCAGTGATGAGTTTCGAACTCGCAACCTAAATCTTTAGAACGCTACTCCAGGGCACTTGATCCCTGCTTCTCCTATGACCCATCAACAGGCCAAAGTGTGTCAAGGAGGAAAAAAACACAAAAACACCTACCCAGCCAGGTATGAACATTGAAACAGTGGGTGGGGACTTCGTGGGACCATGTGGACCGCTGGAGCAAAGTGAATGTTGATTTTCTCCATTTGTGAAACTATTTCAGTTGGATATGAGTTTCCAATATATTTTCAAAGAAACTGCCACCAACAACCTTTTCAGGAAATAGTTTCTAATTGATCTTGTAGTTCACAATAAGAAATGACCTGTGCCCATTTTCATACCACAGAAACCCCCAAGCTCTGCCACTGTGACAAGAGAGAGCAGTACTACTGTTTAATGTTGGTGCCCAGAACACAGGAAGGGTGGAGGGCCGTTATTTTGTATGCTTTCATTTGTTTCCCTATCCATTGTGTTTCTTTGGTAGATACAGAGAATAGTTTGTATTTAAATCCCATGGAGTTCAAAAGCCCTGAAAATAGAACACCTAACTTCTTCTCTACAAATGTTCATCCTATTTAACTCTGTGAAATGACTTAACCACAGTTGGTTGTTTTAGAGGGATAATACAAGGATAAGACTGGTCGCCTTAGAAAGCTAACATGATTGGCCCTTTCTAGAGGGGTCACTGTGGTTTTGACTGCCCCCCCCTCCCCTCAGGCGTAAAATACACTTTCGGACTCAGCTGTTGCTGCATTCTGGAGCCTCTCCTATGCATGTCACACATAACTCTAATTCAGTCTGACCGCTGCCTCCTCAGCACCTCCCTCAGCTGTCTGAGAGGGGCTGCCTCTTGCCTGCAGACCGCCGATCTACAGACAGGAGGGGCAGCGGGTACATTTGGTTGGGGGGCGGGCACAGGAAGAGGGGCAGATTTGGACATTAGCCACTCAGTGGGGTGCTGTGTCACATAATGCTTTGGGCAAACTGAACACGTGCTGTGCCTCATTCAAAAGCTGTTGTGGATTAATCTTCTTTGGGCTTCACTTCAAAATAATTTTGACTAAGTTTACCATCACAGAGAACCTAAATCAAACTAAGTTTACTGTATGTGTTTTCCTTTGACTCCTGGCTTATTGTACACATACTATTTCAGCATGAGTCAATTGGCAATTTGTTCAAATGATTAACATATTATTTACAGTGAACTAGATGTTATTGTGCCTAGTAGGAATAGTAGACACTTTAATAAACACCAAATAGTAGGGAGCAGCTCTTCAGATGGAGGTACTGCTTCTCTGACAGGGGTGAGTGGGACATGACTGAGACTGAGTAACTCACAGCTGGTGTTTTTGGGAAACATGATAAAAAGGAGGAGGGCTTGCAATGGGGAGGGGCATGTTATCTTGGTGAGGGGGGCTGCTATGACGACGAATGAACGAGGATGTAAACAGACGATGGGTCATGGAGGCAGATGTCCAACAGGCTGTCAGAAAAAGGCAAGGCCCAGGCTGGTAAAGCTATAGTAGACAGGTGGAAGAGGGTACTGCTTAGACCACATAGTGAATGTGAGACCCAGCAGGGTATTCCTGACATCAGGATCCACATATGCCCACAGAAACTCACCCACAATTATTCTATAAGACAGGGGAAACAGAAGGAATGGTTGATACTAGACTATATCCAAT